GACACCCTTGGGTCCCGCCAGGGCAGGAGCAGCACTGCCACCAGCTCTGGGTCCGTGTCCCCCCCGTGTCACCCCACCACTGACCCCCCAAGCAGCGGCCACACCCCCAGGGGTGACACTGGGGACGGGGAGGGCGCCCAGACCCGCGCCCAGCCTCTACTGGGCAGACTGGGAGGCCACTGGTGGGGCACGGGGGCCACCTGCTGGGCAGAGGGGACAGTGCCACCGCCGCTGGCCGGACAGAGGGGACACAGCGAGGGGTGGCACTGTCCCCCCTGCCCGGCTCCCGCCGCGGGGAAAGGGACAGAGCCCGGGGCGCTGGTGGCACCAGGGTGACACCAGGGATGACACCAGGGTGACACCAGCAGGTGACACCAGCAGTGGCCCCAGGGGTGACACCAGGGGTGGCCCTAGGAGGTGACACCAGAGGTGACACCAGAGGTGGCTCCAGGAGATGACACCAGGGATGGCCTTAGGAGATGACACCAGGAGGTGACACCAGAGGTGAAACCAGGAATGGCCCCAGGAGGTAACACCAGGTGACACCAGCAGTGACCACAGGAGGTGACACCAGGAGTGACACCAGGGATGGCCCCAGGAGGTGACACCAAGGGTGACACCAGGAGGTGACACCAGCAGTGCCCCCAGGGGTGACACCAGGAGGTGACCCCAGGAGTGACACCAGGGGTGGCCCCAGGAGGTGACACCAGCAGTGGCCCCAGAGGTGGCCCGGGGACACCCAGCAGCACCCGGGCATGCTCAGGGTGCCGGGATGGCAGCAGGTGGCACTGGCATGACACGGACCCGCCACCGTGTCCCCAAACCAGTGACAAAACAACACCGAGCTGGAGCCAGGGAGGAGGAGGAGGAGGAGGAGGAGGAAGGTCAGGATCAGCTCCAGGAATTTAAAGCGGGATGAGAGGGGACAAACCAGGTGACAGCGCTGTCACCTGCCCCGAACACCCCCTGGGGGTTCCCTCATCCAAAACCTGCAGTAATTAACCACTCTGCCTAATTAGCAAGCACTAATTCCGCAGCCTCACCTGCGGGAACTTTTCCAGGAAAAGCTCAGGAGCCACTGGTGAAGGGATGGGAGCGGCGGATGCCTCGCAGTCCCGCAAAAAATTCCTAAAAATTCCAAAAAATTCCTAAAAATTCCAAAAAATTCCAAAAAATTCCTAAAAATTCCTAAAAATCGGGATTGCGGAAGGAAATCAGAGCTGGAAAAGGAAATGTTGAGGTTGGAAAAGAAACTCCAGGTGGAAAAATTCCCGGAGATGAGGATTGGGAGGAGATCCCTGTGGATCACAGCTGGTCCTGGTGGGAGCCTCCAGGGACCAAAGAACAACCGGAATTCAAGGTTTATATGGATTTTATTTTAAATAAAAATGAGGGGAAAAAAAAGGAAAATAAGATTAAATTAATGTTTTTTGAATGATAACGCGATTATTGGAGAGGTTTTAGCCAGAGGAGAGGCCAGCGTTAAAAAAAAAGGGAGGAAAAGGAAAAATAAGAAAGAGGAAAAATCACGCCGGGATCACCTCCTGAGGTTTCACCCCACAGGAAATCGGCGCAGGAAAGGGAATTGTGGCTGTTGCAAAGGGGGAGAAGGATGTGGAGAAGGGAAAAAAATTAAAAAAAAAAAAAATGGGGGAAAAGGATAAAAAAAATCAATTTTATTTTAAATTTTCGATTTTAAAAATGGAAAATTGTCAATTATGTCGTAGACGGAGGGAGGGGGATGTGGCGCAGTTGAGGGTTCAGGGTGAGGCAGAGCATCCAAAATTCCCAAAAATCCCAAATTCAGATCCCAAACCTGGCTTGGGAAAACTCTGGGAGTGACTCAATTTTCCTTGAGTGGAAAAAAAACCTCGAGGGGAAAAAGGAGCAGGGGGAGGAGGCAAAATTTGTTCCCAAAGCAGCTCCAAAAGCAAAGTTTGGCAGAGAATTCCTGGAATTCCCAAAGGGAAAGAAGAAAAATTCCTAAAATTAAAACTAAATTAAAATTGAAATTAAATTTAAAATTGAAATTGAAATTAAAATTGAAATTAAAATTGAAATTAAAATTAAAATTAAAATTGAAATAAAATTTAAATTAAAATTAAAATAAAGCTGAAAATGATCCAAAAAAATCTCTCCTGCTTCACCTTTTCATCCAGGTTATTGAGGAAGTTTTACAGATTTTTTTTTTTTTGTGGAGATGGGGGAAGATTTTTTGGGAGAAAAAAGGAGATTTGGAATGGGAAAAATAAATTTTTTTGGAGGGGGTGAGACAGGAGCAGAGCCCAAATCTCACCCAGGACGATTTTCCTGCCAGGAAAAATCCTGGGATTTTTCACAGCTTGGGAAACGCTGGAAATGTGAATTTTTGTGGCTCTGCTCGGTACAAACTCCGTGAGCCCGTTCCCAGCCAGTTGCGCTTTCCCAAATTTTGGGTTTTTTGGTTTTTTTTTTTTTGGGAATTCCAGTTTGGAGTTCCCCATCCAGCATTTGAATTCCCTAAATCCACGTGAAGGAGATTAAAAAAAAAAAAAACCTTACAAGGGAAAAAGGAGGGGTGAGGGAATTAGAACACTAATTTTATACAATATTGAAAAAATACAAATTTTTATTGTGATTTTTTTTGTTGTTTTTGGTTGCTTTTTTTTGTTTTTTATCTTTTTGTTCTGTTTTTTTTTTTTTTGTCTTTTTTTTCTGTTTTTTGAAGTTTTTTTTTTTAAACTGAAATCACCACCCAGCACTTGACTCTACTCCTAATTAGCACCTACAATTAAAAGTTTATAGCACAAGCAAAACTGCCAGGGCAGCAGGAAAAAAGCGATTTAAACGTGGCCCCTCCCTCCCCGAAATTAATGAGCGAACAACGTGCTAGATTAAAGAGTTAATTACATCATTACATGTTAAATAATTAATATTACCCCTCCCAACAAGCCACAAATGCTAGATAGAGAATTTCAGCACAGTACTAGCCCTACATCACTGCTGGAAAAGGATTGGGAATAAAAATCAAAATCAAAATCAAGAGAGGGAAAATTGATACCCGGAATGAAGAGAAATTATTTGGTTTAATAATTAATAGAAATTATTGGGAAGGAAATTCACTTTTTTTTGTTTTGTTTTGTTTTGTTTTTGTTTTTTTTTTTTTTTATTAAGGAAAAAATCATGCCAAAGCCAAGTGGGACTTGATGGAGTTTTTTTTTTTCTCCCCCACCCTCCTCTTCCCCCCAAAAAAATGAAATTAAAGGAATTGATTGTGCTTTTTTATGAATCTGTGATTGGGTTGGAATTTCCCAACCCCCAACTCGAAAAGAAAAAGGAAACAAACCCCAAATAATTCTAGGAAAATGTTAAATGTGCCAGTCTGACATTCAAAACTCTGCTCCAGAGTCGCTCAGGGTGGGTTGATTTTTGTTTTTTGTTTTGTTTGTTTTTTTTTGTTGTTGTTTTCCTGCAGCAAAAATGAAAAGATTTTATTCAAATCCCTCGGAGAAAAAAAAAAATAAAATCCCCAAAAGAAAATAGCAAATAACATTCAGCTTTAAAAATCCATCTCAGTTTGAATGCACAATTATCCCAAATTCAAGTATCCCGGAATTCCAAGGAGATTTACTCATCAGATTTTAGGAAAAACAGCAAAAAAAAAATAAAAAATTAAAATTAAAAATTCTTTCAGCTTGCTGTAAAACACCAGGAGAAATCCAACATTCCAATTCTCAAATATCCTGGAAAATAAACCTAAAAAAAAACCAACCAATAAAAAAAAAAAACCCAAAGTGTGAATTAATTTGTTTCCTTAATTGGTGCTTTTTCAGGCTTTTTTTTTTTTGGTTTTTTTTTTATTATTCAGCTTAAATTTTGTGGATTTTTTTTTTTTTTTTCATATTTCTTAACTTTTAAGGAATTTTTATCCTGTTGTACACACACAAGCAGATGGGAACCGAGCTGGTGCAGAAAGGAAGGAAAGAAAAGATTTAAAAAACTCAAAAAAAACCCCCAAAAAAACCCAAAAAACCCCCAAAAAAAGGAAAAAAAAAAGGAAAATCAAAACCAGCGCCGATGGATTCGTGGATTTTGGCCAAATTCCGTGGATCTGAAGCTCTGGCAAGGCAAATCCATCCGGTCAGAGGAATTCCCAGGACACAGCAAGTGTTTTTCAGGTGTCTAAATCAGATTTCCAGCAAAATAGGGAGGGGAAAAAGACAGGAAAAAAAAATAAAAATATAATAATAATAATAGTAATAATAATAATAATAATAATAAAGCCAACTCGAAGCCATTTAAGGGCAGCAGGTTCCAAAGTGGGGACAGAAGGAAGAGTTTCGCTTCCACGTGCTCCGGGTTAATCCCAGTTCCATGAGAATTTTTTTATCCGTGAAGGTTCCGGGTGGTTCTTCCCTCCCAGCAAAGGGAACGATTCCTAATCCAGACCAAGCAAAGGGAACAACATCCAAAGCTTTTCCAAAAGGGAAATCCATCAGTGCTTGTCAGTCCCTAAAGTTCAGGAGGGCAGGGAGGAGTCCACAGCAAGAAATTCCGAGTTTTTTGTTTCCGGTTTCGGTGTTTTCCGGAGCTCCACGTTTTTGGATTTGGGGTTTTTTGGTTTTTTTTTGTTGTTGTTGTTGTTAAATCTTATTTTTTCAAACATAATTTGGAGGAGCCCCTTCCATCCCTACACAGCTAAAAGCCCCCCAAGGTTTTTAAACTCGGGGGTAAGGTCAATATCCCAGGTGGAAACCTCGATCCGACAGCAAATCCCTTTTTATTTAATTTTAATTTGAATTTTTGTGTTGTTTTTTGTTTGTTTTGTTTTTTTTTTAAATGTTGTTTTTATTTTGTTAATTCCCTCCCTCCCAGGGCAGCTGTTTGGTAGCCAAAAATGGAAAAAAAAAAAATAAAATAAAATAAAAATATCTCAATGCATGCATCCAGGTTGCATATTGCTACCAGAATGGAATGTTGGGAATACTCTAACGCACCTCGAAAAACAAAAACAAAAAAAATCAAGATCTAAAGGGTGATATATATATATATATCTATATATATATCAATGCTATAATTCATAAAAACCTTGTTTTAGTAATAAAAAAAATTGCTTTGTTTAAATATGAATATTATAGTCTGCTTCTCATGGTTAGGAAATTAGAGTGTCTCTGAAAAGCAGGAGGGCTCCTCTACTACAATTCCATATCCTGAGCCTCATCTTCCGAGAAATCGGACATGGAGCTCTCGGATGAGCTGTCCCCGGTGCCTTCTTCCTGTTCTTTTAGTGCTTCTTCTGTTGCATATTTCTGGATGTATTCTGTGTGGGAGAGAGGAAAAAAATATATGGAATTAAGGGATTAATTTATGTATTTTATATATATTTATATATGAATATGTTTTTATGTTTATAGAAATTATTAAGGGATTAATTTATATATTTTATATATATTTATATATGAATGGGATTAATTTATATATTTTATATATATTTATATATAAGTATTATATATTTTATATATATTTATATATGAATGGGATTAATTTATATATTTTATATATATTTATATATAAGTATATTTTTATATTTATATAAATTATTAAGGGATTAATTTATATATTTTATATCTATTTATATATAAAAATATTTTTATATTTATATAAATTATTAAGGGATTAATTTATACATTTTATATATATTTTTATATAAGTATATTTTTATATTTATATAAATTATTAAGGGATTAATTTATATATTTTATATCTATTTATATATAAGTATATTTTTATATTTATATAAATTATTAAGGGATTAATTTATATATTTTATATTTATATTTATATTAAATATTGATATGTTTATATATATTTATATGTTTATATATAAATATATAAATATTTATATATATAAATAAGGGATTTATAAATTTTTTATATATATTTATATATTTATTTTTTATAGATATATAAATAATTAAGTGATTAATTTATATATTTTGTATATATTTATATGTTTATATATAAGTATATAAATATTTATATATATAAATAATTAAGGGATTAATTTATATATTTTATATATATTTATATGTTTATATATTTATATATATAAATAATTAAGGGATCAATTTTTATATATATTTATATATTTCTATATTTATCTTTTTATATATAAATAATTAAGGGATTAATTTAGAATTGATATATTTATATATAAATATATTTATATTTTTACATATAAAAATAATTGATTACTTTATTATTTATATATATTTCTATATTTCTATATTTTTATATATTTATATAGATATAAATAATTAAGTTATTAACTTATTATTTATTTATATTTTGATACATATTTTTTTATATTCTTTATATATTTATATATAAATAATTAAGTGATCAATTCATTATTTATATGTATTTATATGTACGCATTTATACATGTATATATTTATATATATTTATAATCTTATTATAATTTATTATTTTATTATAATAAATATTAGAAATGTTTATTACTTTATATATATTTATATATTAATTCTATTTTATATATATATTTATATACATATGTGTTTATATATAGATGTATATATTTATATATTGATTATTTTATAATAAATATTAGAAATAAATTTAATGTTATATATATGCATTTATATGTTAATTTTTTATTATATATGTAATATATATTTATGTACATATTTATACATATTTATATATGCATATAATTATATATATTCATTATTTCATTGTAAGTTATCATTTTATTATAATAAGTATTAGAACTAAATTTCTTATTTTACATATATATTTATATGTTAATTTTTATTATATATATCTATATCTATCCTAAAATAAATATATATATCCTAAAATAAATATACATATCCTAAAATAAATATATATATCCTAAAATAAATGAATCCTTTTGGGATCCTGGGTTCTCTGGGTTTGAAGAAAACTCTTAAGCTCGTTAAAATCTCGTTTCTCCTGTTTATCACAAGGTCATTACAAAACTTGGCAGACTGGCTGCACAAGTTTAATTGTAATTTAATTGTAATTAATTATAATTAAATGCAATTTGGTTCATTTCTTTCTGATTGTACAACAAGGCCTTGTGGCTCACCTTGTAATTGAAAAAGGGCTTCAAACTACACAGTTCTTTTATCTTTATACTTATTTTTATCCAATTAACAATAGACATGTTAATTATTTTTCTTAATGACCCAATGACCCATCACCTGTGTGCTGCACTGTGACATTTTTTATCCAATCACCTGCAATTACCCAAAAACCTCTGGAAGAAGAAAATTAAGAAAGAAGAAGGAAAAGAAACAAAATTCTAAATTCTCCACTTTGTTTTCTGCTTTCTAAACTTTAATTTTTTTCACCCAGTGACTTAAGAAAACTTCAATTTACACGCTCACACTTTTAACTTTTTTATCTAATTTTAACAATTGTTTCCACGTGTCATCATGAAAATAAGCTCGTTAATTTCATGTTGTGTGAAATTCAGTGTTTTTCTGGATTTTACTCCCAACACTTTCATTGAAATTTCAATTTAATTGAATTTTTACCTTTAATTTTCTGTTTGTACTCTTCTGGTCGGTGGAGGTACATGGCTGCAGCGTCACCATTTAGAGGATCTATAGGATTGGGATAAGCCAGCAGCTGGGGCAGGAAAGACTCAAATATATTGGTGAGATCTGCAAGATAAAAACAAAATTGATGTTTGTGTCCCCTCATCCTCCCCCCTCAAAAAAAAAAACCCCATCCTGGAATATCCAGAGGTAGAAATTCCAAAGGGAAACGCGCTGGGAATGTGGGGATGAGGTGAAATTAAAGGAGTTAAATTAGAAATTAAAATGAGGGTTGATGGAAAAGCTCCTGACAAATTCCTCATCCTTTCACGTGAATTATCCATGGGTTAAGCAAGGAAAGGGATGGGATTTTCCTGGTTTTTAATCCTGGCTTGGAAAATTAGGAAAAATTCCCAAAGAAATGGAGCTGGGATTTGCCTTTCCCTGAATTTTTTGCCTTTTCCAATCTTTCAATGGAATGTTCCCTGCCCATGGAGCAGGGCTGGAGCTCAGTCTCTGAGGTCCTTCCAAGCCCAAGAATTCCATGGAAAACTCTTCCAGAGTTTTTGTTAATAGGAACCACCACTCCTCCAACTCCAAAGAATTCAGGGAATGCGCAGAGGTCCCACGAGCACGGGATCTGTCACCCAGGAATCCGCAGGAAATCTTCTCCTGGTGCCCAGGAGTGACTGTGGATACACAAAATCCTCTTCCCAAATCCCCGAGAGGAGAAATTCTCTGTTCCAAAGGACAAATTCCCTGTTCCAAAGGACAAATTCCCCTTTCCAGAAGACAAATTCCACATTCCAGAGGACAAATTCCCCCTTCCAGAGGACAAATTCCCTGCTCCAGAGGACAAATTTTCCATTCCAGATGTTAAATTCCACATTCCAGATGTTAAATTCCCCATTCCAGAGGACAAATTTTCCATTCCAGAAGACAAATTCCCTGTTCCAGATGTTAAATTCCCCATTCCAGGGGGCAAATTCCCCATTCCAGGGGGCAAATTCCTTTTTCCAGATGTTAAATTCCCTGTTCCAGATGTTAAATTCCCTTTTCCAGAAGAAAAATTCCCCATTCCAGAGGACAAATTCCCTGTTCCAGATGTTAAATTCCCCGTTCCAGAAGACAAACTCCCCATTCCAGAGGACAAATTCCCCATTCCAGATGTTAGATTCTGCATTCCAGATGTTAAATACCCCGTTCCAGAAGACAAATTCCCCATTCCAGGGGACGAATTCCCCTTTCCTGAGGACAAATTCCCTTTTCCAGATGTTAAATTCCCCATTCCAGATGTTAAAGTCCCCATTCCAGATGTTAAATTCCCTTTTCCAGAAGAAAAATTCGCCATTCCAGAGGACAAATTCCCTGTTCCAGATGTTAAATTCCCCATTCCCTTTTCCAGAAGAAAAATTCGCCATTCCAGAGGACAAATTCCCTGTTCCAGATGTTAAATTCCCCATTCCAGGGGGCAAATTCTCCATTCCAGAGGAGAAATTCCCCATTCCAGATGTTAAATTCCCCATTCCTGGGGACAAATTCCCCATTCCAGAGCACAAATTCCCCATTCCAGATGTCAAATTTCCCCTTCCAGAAGACAAATTCCCTTTTCCTGATGTTAAATTCCCCATTCCTGGGGACAAATTCCCCCTTCCAGAGGACAAATTCCCCATTCCAGAAGACAAAGTCCCCATTCCAGGGGGCAAATTCCCTTTTCCAGATGTTAAATTCCCCGTTCCAGAAGACAAACTCCCCATTCCAGAGGACAAATTCCCCATTCCAGATGTTAAATTCCCCATTCCAGATGTTAAATTCCCCGTTCCAGGGGACAAATTCCCCATTCCAGATGTTAAATTCACCATTCCAGAGGACAAATTCCCCGTTCCAGGGGACAAATTCCCCGTTCCAGATGTTAAATTCCCCACTCCAGATGTTAAATTCCCCGTTCCAGATGTTCAGGAAACAGCCCTGTGCCATCATTCCTCCCTGGGAACGTTTCTGGAGTGGGGGAATTTCCCTGAGAACGTTCCAGAAATCTTTCATCCGTCTCTCTTTCCTCGTGGCAGGGAAATCCCGAATCGGAATCCAGAATCAGGGAATCCCATCTCTCCCACCACCAGGAGCACTGAGACCNATGTTAAATTCCACATTCCAGATGTTAAATTCCCCCTTCCAGAGGACAAATTCCCTGCTCCAGAGGACAAATTTTCCATTCCAGATGTTAAATTCCACATTCCAGATGTTAAATTCCCCCTTCCAGAGGACAAATTCCCTGCTCCAGAGGACAAATTTTCCATTCCAGATGTTAAATTCCACATTCCAGATGTTAAATTCCCCCTTCCAGAGGACAAATTCCCTGCTCCAGAGGACAAATTTTCCATTCCAGATGTTAAATTCCACATTCCAGATGTTAAATTCCCCGTTCCAGAAGACAAACTCCCCATTCCAGAGGACAAATTCCCCATTCCAGATGTTAAATTCTGCATTCCAGATGTTAAATACCCCGTTCCAGAAGACAAATTCCCCATTCCAGGGGACAAAATTCCCCTTTCCTGAGGACAAATTCCCTTTTCCTGATGTTAAATTCCCCATTCCAGATGTTAAATTCCCTGCTCCAGGGGACAAATTCCCCGTTCCAGGGGACAAATTCCCCTTTCCTGAGGACAAATTCCCTTTTCCAGATGTTAAATTCCCCATTCCAGATGTTAAATTCCCTGCTCCAGAGGACAAATTCCCCGTTCCAGGGGGCAAATTCCCCATTCCAGATGTTAAAGTCCCCATTCCAGATGTTAAAGTCCCCATTCCAGATGTTAAAGTCCCTTTTCCAGAAGAAAAATTCGCCATTCCAGAGGACAAATTCCCTGTTCCAGATGTTAAATTCCCCATTCCAGGGGGCAAATTCTCCATTCCAGAGGAGAAATTCCCCATTCCAGATGTTAAATTCCCCATTCCTGGGGACAAATTCCCCATTCCAGAGCACAAATTCCCCATTCCAGATGTCAAATTTCCCCTTCCAGAAGACAAATTCCCTTTTCCTGATGTTAAATTCCCCATTCCTGGGGACAAATTCCCCCTTCCAGAGGACAAATTCCCCATTCCAGAAGACAAAGTCCCCATTCCAGGGGGCAAATTCCCTTTTCCAGATGTTAAATTCCCCGTTCCAGAAGACAAACTCCCCATTCCAGAGGACAAATTCCCCATTCCAGATGTTAAATTCCCCATTCCAGATGTTAAATTCCCCGTTCCAGGGGACAAATTCCCCATTCCAGATGTTAAATTCACCATTCCAGAGGACAAATTCCCCGTTCCAGGGGACAAATTCCCCGTTCCAGATGTTAAATTCCCCACTCCAGATGTTAAATTCCCCGTTCCAGATGTTCAGGAAACAGCCCTGTGCCATCATTCCTCCCTGGGAACGTTCCTGGAGTGGGGGAATTTCCCTGAGAACGTTCCAGAAATCTTTCATCCGTCTCTCTTTCCTCGTGGCAGGGAAATCCCGAATCGGAATCCAGAATCAGGGAATCCCATCTCTCCCACCACCAGGAGCACTGAGACCACCCCAACCCTTCCTTTTCCCTGGGAAAAAAAAAATCCCATTCCAGAGTCATCACTGAGCCACTCAACCAGATCCTGGAATTCTCAACTTCCCAAAAAAATTCACCAAAAATTTGGTGAAATTTCGGTGAAAAAAAAAAGAGGGAGGAGATTTCCAAGTGGAAAAAAAGCTCTGGACGCAACCACGGAATTCCAGGCTCCGTGTGGCGCCCAGGTTTGTCCTGGATGGAACAGAGAGCACGACAACACCTGGAAAAATCCAAAAAAAATCCAAAAAAAATCCAAAAAACATTCCAAAGAAATCCTGGAAAAACTGCAGGAATGCTCTGTGTGGGAATTCCCTGCCCTGGAGAATTCCCAGGGATTGGATCCGAGCACCGGCAGCAAAAAGTTGATTTTTAATTTGTAAAATTTGGGTTGAGTCTCTTGGATCTAAAGGCTCTTTGTGGCCACTGAAACTTCCTGAGGATGAGGAAGGAAATCCCTGGAATTCCCTCCCTGGATCCATAGGACACTTGGGATAATGATTTTTTTTTAAGGAATTTTCTCTCCAAGGCCCCAAAATTGTGGCTGGTTCTGCAGGAGAGGGTGGAACACGAGCAGGAATTTCAACCCCAGCACTGAGGAACTATCAGGAATCAAACCATGAAATCCTCAGGAATTTTTTTTTTGGTGGATATTCCAGGTTTTTCCCACCTTTCCAGGGATAATTTCCTTTCCAGGGATAATTTCCCTGGAATTATCCCAGATCCGTCGTCAGTTCTGTTTTAAAGGGGGAAAAACTCAAAAAAAAAGAGCAATTTTTAAAGATTTTCCAATTTTTTGTGCCACAGAGGGAAGAAAATCCTTGGAATCTTGGATTGGTAAATTTAGAGGGAATTCAGCCATCCCAAAATTCGCCAGCTCCAAGGTAGAACTCGGAATTCTGGAGCATAAAAACCACTGGAATTATTTCATTTTTATGGAAAAGTGGCAATGTTGATCTCTCACAACAAATCCTCATCACCACTCTGGGAATTCCATTATTCCAACCAGAAATTCCAGCTAAAATCACTTTTCCAGGGAAGAACCTGAAGGATTTGATGTCCAAAATCCCCTGAATTTCTCCCAAAAATATCTGAAATTCCCATTTTGTAATGGAAGCTCAGCTGTGTTCCTTTGAACAATTCCAGCTTTCTTGAAATTCTATTTTAAATTAATCTTTTTATCTTTATTTTATATTTTTTTATTTATTTTTTTATTTTTATATATTTTTATTTCTTTTTTTAATTTATATATATATTTTTCATTTATATTTTTATTTTTATATATTTTTATTTATTTTTGTATTCATATATATTTTTTATTTATCTTTTTTATTTATATATATTTTTTATCTTTTTTATTTATATATATATTTTATTTATATATATTTTTAATTTATCTTATTTATTTCTTTATTTTTTAATTTATCTTTTTTATTTATTTTTTAATTTATCTTTTTTATTTATTTTTTAATTTATTATTTTTTTTTAATATCTTTTTCTTTTATATTTTTATCTCTAAAAAGTAAATTTTAAATCAGAAATGACCCCATGGAAACCACTCTGCAGCACCAGGGGCAAAAACATAACCTGTAAAAAAAATAAATCTTATTTTTTTCTAGATCTTGGCTCAGGGAGGAATTAAAAAAATTTCAAATTCACTAAAAAAACCCCAAAATTAAAGAAAAAATAAAGCCCAAAAGTGGCCAAAAATCATCTTTTCACCCCAACACAGAGGAAAATTCCCAACTCACCGTAGAGAGCTGTCCAAGTTTGATTGATTACATCTAGACATACAGTTCCTGACCTGAAACAAATGGAAAAAAAATGGAATTAACATTGGAAAACACTCTAGGAATTAAAAAAAAATCAAAAATAAAAAATCCACCCCAACCCCTTCCCCAAGGTTTGGGATAAACCCTGATTTATTCTTATTTAAATCCTGATTTATTCTTATTTTAATCCTGATTTATTCCTATTTAAACCCTGATTTATTCCTATTTCAACCCTGATTTATTCCTATTTCTGGTCTTTAACCACCTCAATTTTCCCACTTTGCCCAAGAGGAAAGAAATTGGAATTTTACTGCTAAGGAAACTCCAGAGAAGCAGAAAAAATCTGGGAAAATATTTGGAATTTTGAAGGATTTAACACAAAAAGAGATTTACTCACGCTTCGTCGATGTTGGGATGGAAGATTTTATTCATGAATCCTGTGAGGAGACACAAAAGGAAATGAGCAGGGAAAAAAAACCCAAATAAATGTAATTATTTCCATTTATTAGGAAATATAAAATATTTATAAAATGGTATAAATATGAATAAATTTATAAAATTGATAAATTAAAAAAATTTAAAAATTTATAAAATTTTCTAAATATTAATAAATGTATAAATTTGGTAGATTAAAATTTTTAAAATATTAAAATATTTATAAAATATTATACATATTAATAAACGTATAAATTTGGTAAATTTAAATGTATGAAATATTATTTTTTTATAAAATACGATAAATATTAATAAATTTATAAAATTGATAAATGTAAATTTATAAAATCTTAAAATAGTTATAAAATATAAATATGAATAAATTTATAAAATTGATAAATGTAAATTTATAAAATAGTAAAATATTTATAAAATATTATAAATATTAGTAAATTTATAATACTGGTAAATTTAAATTTATGAAATATTAAATTTTTTATAAAATACTATAAATATTAATAAATTTATAAAATTGATGAATGTAAATTTATAAAATAGTAAAATAGTTATAAAATATAATAAATATTAATAAATTTATAAAATTGGTAAATTTAAATTTATAAAATAGTAAAACATTTATAAAATATTATACATATTAATAAATGTATAAAAGTGATAAATTAAAAATATTAAAATATTACAATATTATAAGTATTAATAAATTTATAAAATTGATATATTTAAATTTATAAAATAGTAAAATAGTTATAAAATATTATAAATATTAATAAATTTATAAAATTGGTATATTTAAATTTATAAAGTATTAAATATTTATAAAATATAAATATTAATAAATTTATCAAATTGATACATTTATAAAATATTAAAATATTTATAAAATAAATATTCCAGGCTTGAGAAACCTGGAATTTATGGAACAAGGATTCATCCATGAGCTCAGCAGAGCTGATGAAGTGCAAGAATTTATTGATAAATCCAAGAACAGACACTGAACACAAATTTCAGTTTAATATTTGATTTTTTTCAAGATATTTTTCCTGACAGAGGTTTCCTGTGAGCTCAAAATCACAATATTTATCTACAATTGTGAGCCAGGGAGGTAATAATTCAGATTTTTTATTAATTAATTCTCTTTTTGGTGCTTTTGGTCTCCTAAAAACCAACTCAGGTGAGGTTTAAGAGGAGGGAACTCGATGTGGTTTTGTCTAAATTTCAAATTTCTGGATTTGAGATGGATTTTTTTTCCTTCTAAGCCATAAATTAAGTGGTTTAAATTAAATGATTTAAATTAAATTGTTTAAATGAAATGGTTTAAATGAAATGGTTTAAATTAAATGGTTTAAATTAAATGGTTTCAATTAAATTGTTAAAATTAAATTGTTTAAATTAAATTGTTTAAATTAAATTGTTTAAATTAAATTGTTTAAATTAAATGGTTTAAATTAAATGGTTTAAATTAAATGGTTTAAATTAAATTAAACCCCTGTGGTTTTCAAGTCTTACCCAGCAGAAGGTGCCCCTTTATCAAATTTAATTTTAATTCCCTTTATCAAAATTTATCAAAATTTAAAATTTATCAAATTTATCAAAAGATAAATTTGAATTTAATTTTATCATTTAATTAATTAAATTTTATTTTAAATTTTACTTCGACTTCAAGACGGTTGGAAGGTTCTGACAAGGATAAAAGCAGGGAATTAATTAAAATCTGGGATATTGATGGGGAAAAAAAACTCCTTCCAAGACTCCAGAAAAAAAAGGGAATTTTTCTTCCTAGATAAACCCTAAAAAAACTAAAAAATTCTATTTTTTACCAATTAAAAAAGCTCCAAATCATCCCCAAATTTTCATCCATCCTCTCCAGGTATTGGAATTTCATCCCTGCCCAATCCCAGGTTGGGATTGAAACTTTTTCCTTCCCATAAATTCTGACACAAACAGAATTCCAGATTTGCAGGATTTTGGATAAATCCAAGGCTGAGACCGGAATTATCTCCGAGAGGAGAATTCCATCAAAGCCTCCAGGCTAATAAAGTGAATTTTGGGAATAATTTGGTTGGATTCAGCTGGAAAAAACTAATTTAAATTTAAAATTTAAAAAGGGAATTTGGAATTCCATCAAATATTTACGTCCTGCAGCTCCCACAGGTTTAAATCAGGTCATGGATCTGTTTTGTGAGAGCTGAGCTGAGATCTTGATCCTAAATCCTTCCAGGATTTTTTGGGTGGAAAAACCAAATAATTGGGAATAATCCTATCCAATAAATAGATATAATTATATAACACATATTTTAAAGAAATAGGATATTATTAATTATTAATAAATGCCTTTGCTGGCCTAATATTCCTGCAGATTTTTAAAGAACTAATAATAATAATAATAATAATAATAATAATAATAATAATAATAATAATAATAATAAAAATTTAATTAAATAATTAAATTTAAATAATAATAATAAATTTAATTAAATTTAATTAAATAATTAAATAGTAAATTTAATTAAATAATTAAATTTAAATTTAAATAATAATAAATTTAATAAATTTAAATAATTAAATAGTAAATTTAATTAAATAACTATATTTAAATTGAATATAATAATGATAATAATGATGATAATTATAATAATAAATTTAATTAAATAGCAAATTTAATTAAATAATTATATTTACATTTAATATAATAATGATGATAATAAATTTAAATAAATAAATAAATAGTAAATTTAATTAAATAATTATATTTAAATTGAATATAATCATGATAATGATAAAAATAAATTTAATTAAATAAATAAATAGTAAATTTAATTAAATAATTATATATAAATTGAATATAATCATGATAATGATAGTGATGATAACAATAATAAAAAATAAAAATAAATTTAATTAAAAAATTATATAATAATAATACTAATAATACTAATAATACTAATACTAATACTAATACTAATACTAATAATAATAATAATAATAATAATAGTAATGTAAATAAACTACAAGTTCCCCTGAAGATTTTAAATCCCAAGGAAATCATAAATATCTCCAAAAACTCAGGAAATGGAAGAAGACACAGAAAACAGGGAATTTTTTCCTGAAAATTGCAGGAATATTCCCAAAAAATTTACTCCAGGAGCAGCAAAAGGAGCAAATTTTGTTGGGAACAACTGCTCCAGTTCAAGGCTGAAAATTGGGATAATTTGGGATTTCTTTATCCTGATGGGAGAACTCAAACCCAGAGCCAAATTTGTTTCAATTCCTGGTTTTCCTGGGATTTCCCTTTTGTGGAATTTTTGGATTAATCCCTTTTTTTGGTGGAATTTTGGGATTAATCCCTTTTTGGGGGGGGGAATTTTGGGATTAATCCCTATTTTTGGGTGGGAATTTTTGGATTAGTCCATTTTTTTGGGGGGGAATTTTGGGATTAATCCCTTTTTTTGGGATTAATCCCTTTTTTGGGTGGGAATTTTTGGATTAATCCATTTTTTTTAAGGAATTTTTGGATTAATCCCTTTTTTGGGGGAGGCATTTTTTGGATTAATCCCTTTTTTTTTGGGAATTTTGAGATTAATGCCTTTTTTTGGTGGAATTTTGGGATTAAACCCCTTTTTTGGGGAGTTTTTGGATTAATCCCTTTTTTTAGGAATTTTTGAATTAATCCCTTTTTTGGGGGGGAATTTTTGGATTAATCCCTTTTTTTTTTGAATTTTTGGATTAATCCCTTTTTTTGGGGGGAATTTTTGGATTAATCCCTTTTTTGGGGGGAATTTTTGGATTAATCCCTTTTTTTGGGGAATTTTTGGATTATTCCCTTTTTTCTTGAATTTTTGGATTAATCCCTTTTTTTTGAATTTTTGGATTAATCCCTTTCTTTGGGGAATTTTGGGATTAAACCCCTTTTTTTGGGGAATTGCTCCTTTAGGAATTCCCAAAATATTCCCACCTTTCCCAAGGACACCTCTGGAGAAAAAAACAACCAGAAATACTCCAAAAAATTCACATTTTTCACAAAATATCCACACCAGCATCAAAGATTATTTAGGATTGAAGGAATATTTTAAATTCCAGTCCTGGAATACCAAATTAAAGGGATGATGTTTTTAAACTTTGGGATAAAGATGGAATTTCTTCAAGGAAAAAAATCTGAACCTCAGCTAATATTGGTTCTATCAGGCCTTACCTTGAATATTTGATGTTTTTCTGCTAGGATTGACTCAAAAAAAATAATAATTTGATTTTTATTTCTCCTCCATTTGGACTTTTATCCAGAATATTCATTATTATTAACAGGGAAAAACCTAAAAACTGGAATAAACTCGGGTACCTGAAGATATCCCAGGTGGTTTCCTGCTCCCCAAGGATGGATCCAAGATAAAAATCATTTCCTAATCCAATTTCCTATCACTCTCCAAGGTGAAAAAAGCCTGAGAAGTCAAGCCAGTGGGGTTTTTTTTTTGGTGATAAATCCCTGCTTTTTAGTTATTCCACAAAATATTCCCTGCTCCAAGAGGATGGAGGCTTCAGTGGGTGAATTTCCATGTTTTTGGACAGAAAACCCCAAAAATTGGGTTCTTCCCAAGACCCTGAAATTTGGTTTTTGCTCCACCACCCAAGAACTGATTTATTATTAAAAAAAACCCCACGGAAATTGAGATTTAATTGACCAACACACAAAAATAAGCAACCAAATCCCACTCCCAGCTCTTCCTCCTTCCAAAGCTCAGAATTCCTCTCTCTCCTTGGGATTTGAAATCCCATAAAAAAACATTTTGCAGGCTCCAAAGTCTTTCCACTGCGCTGGTACCAGACTCCACCTGCAAATTTTAGGCACAAAACTGCAGGATTTGGATGGAAAATGAGGAATTATTTTTTACCTATAGATGGGGATTTGNCAAAGATGAGAGGAGAGGATCAACAGAAGAAACAGAATTATGGAAAATACAGCTCTGGAATAATCCAAAGTTCCACTGAGGGGGTGGTTGAGATTCCAAAGCAAAGCTCCCATGGGAAAAATAATTTTTTTAACATAAATAAATAATAAAATTATATTATTTATTATTTCATTTATTTATTATTTTATTTTATTATTTATTTATTATTTAATAATATTATAATAATAAATAATATATAATAAATAAATATAATGTAAATATAATATAAATAATATAAATGTAATTTAATAATATATAAATAATATAAATAATATAAATATAATATATAATTTATAAAATAATAAATATAATAATAATATATAAATAATATAAATAATATAAATATAATATATAATTTATAAAATAATAAATATAATATATAATATATAAAATAATAAATATAATAAAATAATAATTAAATAATAATAAAATTAAAAATTTTAAAAATAAATAATAAAATAATATTATTTATTATTCTATTTATTATTTTATTATTTATTTATTATTATTTAGTAATATTATAATAAATGATATATAATCAATAAATAAATGTAATATAAATATAATATAAATAATATACATGTAATTAAATAATATATAAATAATATAAATAATATAATGTCATGGGGTAGCTTTACCTTTAAGACAGGTAATAATAATAATAGACAGGTAAATAATACATATATAATATATAAAATAATAAATATAATAATAAAAAAGAAAATAAAAATTAAAATAAATTAATTTTTTTTTCCTGTTCTGCCTGATTTAGGATAATCTCCTTAACTCTGGTGCTAAATGAAATGCAAAAATCATTTTAATGACAAACTCCATGGAAATTTCTGTGACTGATATAAATTTGGCCAGATCTAGGAAAATTCAGGGATGCTGAAGGATTTTTCCATCTCCAAAGGATGGGATTTATCCCTGCTCATGCTCACAGCTGGATCCTCCCCACCCTCCACAAGGCGTTTCCATGGATTTTTCTCCATCCTCCCCCCTCTAGAATGTCATTTCCTCATTCCCCCACCACAAATCAGTGGATTGAGGTTTGTTTTGTTTTTATTCTGGAAGGGTTGGATCCCAAACTTACTTCCTTGTGGTCCGTAAAACTTCACGACAAATTCGTTGAGTCCTCCCAAGATGGTGACTTCGTGTTTGCTCTCGATCCTGATGAGGCGAGTCAAGGAAAAATATCCAGGAAACCCAACCCAAATCACTCAGATCCAAGGAATTCGCTCCCAAAGAATTCACTCCCAAATATCCCAAATATCCAAGGAATTCGCTCCCAAATATCCCAAATATCCAAGGAATTCGCTCCCAAATATCCAAGGAATTCGCTCCCAAATATCCAAGGAATTCTCTCCCAAATATCCAAGGAATTCGCTCCCAAATATCCAAGGAATTCTCTCCCAAATATCCCAAATATCCAAGGAATTCTCTCTCAAATATCACAGGAATTCGCTCCCAAATATCCCAAATATCCAAGGAATTCGCTGCCAAATATCCCAAATATCCAAGGAATTCACTCCCAAATATCCCAAATATCCAAGGAATTCGCTCCCAAATATCCCAAATATCCAAGGAATTCGCTCCCAAATATCCAAGGAATTCTCTCCCAAATATTCAAGGAATTCGCTCCCAAATATCCAAGGAATTCACTCCCAAATATCCCAAATATCCAAGGAATTCGCTCCCAAATATCCAAGGAATTCGCTCCCAAATATCCAAGGAATTCGCTCCCAAATATCCCTAAGTGGAATTTCCTGACACATCCAGGTGACCACAGCGCCACAATTCCTCACCCCTTCCCCCACCCTGAGGAATTTTGGGATGAATCCTCCGGAGTTTTCCATCCTCTCCCGCACGGATTTGGGGAAATTGAAAGAATTGAATTGTGTTTGAAATAACTGGGGATGCTCTGATCAATTCCATTGTCGCCCTCACTCCCTGCAAATCGTGGCAATCTCAAAATCAAAATAATCAAAAGTTAATTTGATTTGCAAATCAAAAAAAAAATTCCCCGATCTTGGGAGAGACGGCGCGGAAAGAACGACGGGAAGAAGGGAATACAAAGGGAAAGGCAAGTGGGAAGAAGGGAAAACAAAGGGGAAAAAGGCAGGAAATCTTTATTTCAAGAGGAAAAATTTTTTATGGAATATTATTAAATTCTTTTTATTGCCAAGAGAGGCTCAGTTAAGATAATTAGTGGTGGAGTTTCGGCGCTGAAGCTTGATAAGGAATTCTGCTAATATCTAATTAATATTTGCTAATAACTAACCCTGTAAATCAGGCTTAATGGATTGGGAATAAAGAATTTGGGAATAAAAAATGGATTGGGAATTGCTGTAGGATCTTACAGCGATTTCCTTTCATCAGGATAAGAATTATAAGGGAAGAAGGAAAAAAATCAAAGGTTTGTTCCCACCTGAATTTTGGCTGCTCCCATTTGAGGGAAGAGGGAATATTTCATATAAAGATCCTTCACATCCCAGCAGGAGCTTGGCAGGAATGTTCCAGCCGCAGGGAACTAAAAGATTCCTCTTTTTTTTTTTTGGTTTTTTTCTCCTTGGATTGAAAAGATTTCCTGTTTTCACGGCACAAAATTTACCCAGGATTGCGGGAATTTCATCCGCTCCCACCTTGGACCGCGATGACTGAAATATTCCCGACCCACCAAGAATTCCCAACCTGCAGGAACGAAGAATTCCCAACTCAGACCTTTAAATCCCAACCTATGAAACCTCTGGGATTTCACAAATTTTTGAATTTCACAAATTCCCGACTCCACATCTGCGACGAGTTTTTTGCGACGGGATCCGAGTTCCATCCGTGGGGTCCCTCAGGATTTGATCCAATTCCTCAACTGAGACAGATTTTTCCCACAGCATCAGCTCCAAAAGGATTTTGGACACAAAAACCTCGTTCTCACGGAGAGAGGGAAAAGTTTACAGCCGGAATTTTCTCGGTTTGGAGCTTGAGCTGCTCTGCCCTAAAATTCCATGGCAAGGAACTCGCTGCACCTGGCAGCAGCTCACAAAGGGCAGAAGGAAAACAAAAAAAAAATGCCCTCAGTGGAAGTGTTTTTCCAGCTGAAATCCAACGGGAATATCCGGGAAAAGCGGCGTCGCCGCGGGTTTGTGGCGAGGAGCATCCCAAGGAAACGTCGCGGTCGCTTCTCCCGACGCCGATTTGCCACCGGATCTTTCCTTGTCACGCTCAGAACCACGAGTTTTGGAGTTTAATTCCTTTGGAAATGTATCCCTGGATAACTTTTCCAGCTTTCCAAACTCTTCCAGGGCGTGCAGCGATGACCCAGAAAATGTTGAACACCAGAGGATTTTCACACTCGCGGCAGCTTCGCGGATCAGGTCGAACACAAATGGTTTTATTTAGGACTGAATCAAGTCCTGCTTAATAAAAACCAGCCTGATCCTCAGCTCCCTGAATTAATTCCGACTGTAAATTAAAGCTGAGTTTTCCACACTTTGGATTCCTGCTGTTGCCAAATTCGAAAAATATCCGTGAGCCTCACGGGGTCACGTCTGAATATTGTCCTTGTGGCAAAGACCTAAAATTCCTAAAAAAATCGGTTTGGTGCATGAGGTTCGTGAAAAGGGAGGAATATTGGGATGGAAGGTTTGGGAATAACCACGTTGTTTATTGGCACAACACCAGGAATTTTTCATTGTGAGGGTGGTGAGATCCCGGTATAAATTCCCAGAGAAGTTGTGGTTGCCTCTGGATGCTTGGAAGTGTCCGAGGATGGGCTGGAGATTGGGGTTTGGAGCAGCTTGGGATGGAGGGAGATGTCCCTGAGAATGGTTTGGGGTGGAATTGGATCATTTTTAACTGGAAAATCCCACCCAAACCATTCCCTGACTCCGTAAATGAGGATAAACTGAAAATAAAGTGGATTTCGGCAACAAATTGGGGGGGAATCTCTGGAAATGAAGCTGGGAATGACAATTTTTTTCCTTGGAATGAGGTGAATTCCAGGTGACACAGCTGGAGGGGAACAAGCTGCCCTCTCCCTTCTCCAGCAAGGAAAAGATGCCCAGGAATGGGAAATCTTGGAATCATTCCGGGAGAACTGCACGGAGAGAAGATTTCAAACCAGCATTTTTCCATCTCCAGGAATTCTTCAGGAAAGGAAAGAGTCAGTGCAGAAACTGGGACTCTGGGAAATCCAGGAATCCCAGCAGATCTTCACCATCCCAAAAATTATCCCAGGAATGAGCACATGGGAACAGCAGGAGGGACTGGAAACCTTTGGAGCGGTGTCCAGGCCACATTCCCAGAGAAAACTCCACTGGAATTCCCAGAGAAAACTCCACGGGAATTCCCAGAGAAAACTCCAGCGGAATTCCCGGGAGTGAAGAACGCAGGATGTGATCCATGGGAAATTCAGGAATCCCAACAGACCTTCTCCATCCCAAAAATTATCCCAGGAATAAGCACAGGGGAACAGCAGGAGGGATTGGAAACCTTCGGAGCGGTGTCCAGGCCACGTTCCACCGGAATTCCCGGGAGTGAAGAACGCAGGATCTGATCCATCGGATCTCTCTGGATTTTTCCGTAAGGAGGGAATCTCACAGCCGAATCCCAGATGAATTCCATCCCAAACACGCCCAGAATTCATCAGCAGCCTCGGATCAGGAGATGTGTGGAGACCCAAAATCCCAACGGATTTTTGCCCAGCTGAGGATCCTCTCCTGGATCCAGACTCTGGTGACGGATCCTGCAGCAATTCCAAGGAATTCCCAGGAAAGGAGCACCCAGAACTCGGAGCAGGATTCCCTGGGAACGCCAGGTTTGTATCCAGAATTCCCAGCCACCCCTTTCATTGATGTCTATCCATGCAGAAATCCCCCAGGAATTCAACCACAAATATTTTGGGAAGATAATTTTGGAAGATTCATTTTTTTTCTGGACTTTTTAGTTGACCCAAATGTGCCCA